TTTATAAATTAAAAAAAGAAAATATTTGATATTAGTTAATAAAGCTTGCAGTAGTGCTCCACTCTCATTGTCTTTGATATATTGGCTTTTATATGAATTGGTCAAACTTTGATGTCCCTGTTTGCACTCTTTTTGCCAGTTCCACGTCCATCCAGGTTTTTTTTTAGTTAGAGATTTAACTGGCATTGTTTCGACTAATCTGATCGTTTTTTTCAAATGTAGACTGAAGCTGTGTGAGCCTGAAGGATGTAATGAGGTATCAAATTGTGTATCCATCTCCTTCAATGTTGGGTTTGTTAAGGGGCAGCAGGGTGCCAGTCACTTTGAGTGTGTGTGTGTGTGAGTGAAGCCCAAGGGTGTGTCTTAAACACAACCAGTAGCGAACGAGTAGTTAGTTGCCGACTTTGCCCTGGGAAGGGACAGACCTGAAGGCAGGCCCGTGTGTACATACAATTAAGAGAGCAAGCAAGAGTGCAAATAAATGCTAACCCTACAGGGCCAGAAGTCATTGCTTTACTCCAAAATGCACTGGCTTTGTTTTTTTAAGTGTGCATGTGTGTGTGTGTGTGTGTTTACATATCTGTCCACGCATTGGCCATCCAGCCCCAGACGACCTTCTGCTGTCTGCCAAGGCGATGCCCTCACTAGGTCGACAGTCATGGACGCCGTGGCGATGAGGGCTCAGAGCTGTATCCATGACAGTGCTGCTACTGAGATGCCCCAGCAGCAGCCTTGATTAAGTTAGACGTGATAGGAACTGCTGGTCACCCTTTATTAACTCTTCCTACTCTTTTCTTTGTTATTCCTTTTCCTATTGTATATGATTTTCAAAAAAATCCAATTGCTTCAATTTGTACCATCTATTTTTCAATTGTGTCTCTCTACCTTGAGCGTTAAGTTGACCCTCAAACTTTATTTTTAAAGCCTCGTTTATGAATGCATGTGCATTGGGAGGGTTTTGAAATATCTTCTTGGTCTGTTGAGCTCTTTGTGTGCCCACATGTATGTGGATAAGCAACACTGTGTCAGGTTAATGACCAGCTTTGCTTTGACCTCCGTGTAGGTCATGTGCCAGTGCTCGTTAGCAGTGTCACTATGGTGACATGTCAGATGTCTGTACGGTGGGTAGCGGAGCTGACAAAAAGAACAGTGGGGGCGGAGGAGGGGTTGAAAAGCGAAGATGGGAAGGAGAAAGGAGAGGAGTCAGGGGAGGCAAGTTCATTTAAATGTGACTCTTATCAGAAGGCCTCTGCCACTCCTCATTAGCAAGACACTTATAATTGGCAAGGTTGTGGTGGCATTGTCCAGGCTTCTGGGATGGAATATACAATGATGAAGGCTTTGCTTTTGGACACAGCAGAGGTGCCGTTGACCCCCTTGTCATATCGGTTACCCCTGAGGGAACTCCGTCTTTATTATTCAACCCCCGTTTCTCCAGCCGTGAGAAAGAGAAAACTAAACACTATGACAAGTTCTGTTGTGTGTAGCTGGCATTACCATGGGTATCGGTGGCTTTATGTGCTTCTGACCCTCCTGTTTGGTTATGCACTATAAACCGCTTTCTGCATAACGAGTACATTATTATTTGAACTGTATAATTGTCTAGTCATTGTCAGCAACTGCATGGTAAATGGACTTGTATAGATCTTATCTTATCTTGAATATGGTCGAAAAGTACCTAATGTATATTTAGGTTCTATTGATTTAACCTCAACTTGTCATATGATGCCAATTTTAGCATAAATTTGAAACATTTGAAAATATCTGACCTCAGGAAATGCTAAGGATTCTATGAAATGGAGTGAATTCGAGGAACCTTATATATAAATAAATGTAATATATAAATATTACTATAACACTGAGATCCAGTTAAATTGGTTTTAAATGGAGGAAATTCTGGCAACTCTGGCAAATAGCAGTACACACCTGTGACCTCTAGATGGCAATAGTGTCATATAAATGGCCAGAGAAATTTGTGCTGACTCAATGTTATGACATGTAAACAATCATCCACATCTAAAAATAAATATTTCCTCTCATTTAACAGTTCTTTTTTATTTACAAAAGAATAATTATCTCTATCAGCCATCCAACTGCCCAAAATATCCGTTCCAAATATATGCAGCAGTGAGTTGATGGATGCTGCATTTTGGGAGCAGGTGGTTCCTTTCATGTATTGTCAAGTGTCTGAAGGCCACCAGGAATCTGAAAGATAAAGGTTGTGTTGATAAGTTTAAAATCACTTGTCATGATGTGGTTTTGGGCAGCCATGAAAAGGGCTGTAAAGGATTGGTACACAACGCTAAGAACTTTTGTCCCAGTTATGTCTTTAAAATGAAGATTAACCTGTCAGTGCATTGTTAAAAAAGCATTTTGCTTAAAGTGCAGCCTGGTTTTCACTTACTCCTGCAATGGCCGACCTGGTTTTCTTGTTTCTATATGTTTTATCAGCCACAATTTCACCCTCATCTTTGGCCTATACTTTTTATTTTATGTGACATTTTTGTTTCCCATTTTCACAGTATAACCAATGAAGCAGGAGCTTCCATCTACAGTGTGAGTCCAGAGGCAGTCGAAGAGATGCCCGACTTGGACCCTAACCTAAGGAGTGCAGGTATGCAAGACTTTCTTTTGAACAAAGATATTTTCGCATTTTATCCATAAGACTTTGTTTTATTAAATTGTTTGATAAAAATATGACAAAGTAGGGGGACAGCTTTGTGTAAATGGCCAACATTTATTGTTTGATCTCTTATGGTATGTTTGTAGAACATTTCTAGATATTCATTAGATATTGTGTTTATCACAACATTTTACAGGTGACATACTTTATCCAAAGTTGACTGACATTAGCCCCTTAATCAGTGAAAGTATGAATTGAATAATTATCCAGCTCTTTTTCCCCTACCTGAGAAGACACTCCTATTTATTTTTTAATGGTTTTAGGATGTTAAACAGTTGATCACATTTTTATATTTAGTCAGAAGTGAGACATGAAGAAAGAGTTACAATATTGGTCTGGGAAGTGGTTGATTTATCCTCTCCAACCTCTTGAAAACCAAGTTTCTTTTTTGTACTCTTCTGTAATGCAAACAGACAAATACCTCAGAATTTCTATTAGCGTTATACTCACCCTCTTTTTCCAGCAACACAATGCACTGTCACATAATCAGTAACTTTCTGGCACTCTGATTGGCTTCTGTTATGTCTCTCCTTCACCACGCTCCCCAATTCATTCCACATCACTGAAATTAGAGCTAAATGATAGACAGAAAACTCATATGGACTTTTGGTGAACAAATGTTTCCAACAGACTTCCTTTATAAAAGCCATAATTCAACTCGGCCAGCATTATTTCTGACTGGGTTCCTGTGGTCAGCAGCACTGAGAACCATACTTATACCCTTAACTAAAGCCACACAAAATCCACAGCATTTGGCTTTAGATGGGTCAAGAACAAGGAGATGTCTTCTCACGTCGGCCTGCTGAGTCTTTTAATGGCATATCTTCTGTCTTTTGATTTCAGTGTCATAGCAATAGTTCATATAAAAACATTTGACAACCACAGATTAGGGACACCTAGTGGTGGTCGTCAATAATTAAGATGAAACCCCTGAGTTCTGTTTGTTTTCAGCTTTGTATATGCTGATGTATTTAAAAGAAATAAAGTTATAAGTTACTGGTTTCAGATGTGACACTTGATCTATACTGAACCTCCTAAAAGTATTGCAAAGTGTAACTAGTCTGTGTTTTGTTTGTTTGTTGTTGGCCTTAAATATGCACCAGTGTATTTGCGGTCTCACTCGTCTGCTGAAGGTCCGAGGCTTCCAGTTTTCCAGAGCACTGAACCTGCATCTCTCATCTCTTGCTGCTTATCCCATCAGTTCCCATTTGTTTGATACTGTATTTGGCTCATAAACTTTTAATGAATGCTGGATAGTTCTGTTGGACTCCGTTTACAAATCAACTCTTTGCAGAGAGAATCAGGCAGAAATTCAGATACACATGATGGACGGAAAAGAGTATTTGAGAGTTCTGGTGGTGTACTGAGCAAGGCTAGGGTTGAAACTTCATCCCTGTCTAAATATTATCTCAGGCAATAGCCTCCTGCCGCAGCCAGAGGAGAGAGAAGAGCCATTGATTCAAGACATACTCCCTCTTTTACATCCCATCCTTCTCTTTCTCTTTGTCTGTTTTACCTCAGACAAATAAATCGATATTTCCTGAAGAATACAACATTAACTGCAACCTTTGAAATCCAGATATGGACATGATGCACGATTCCAATGCATTGAGGAGCAGTGAATAGAAAGAACAAAGTATCGAACTAAATAATTCTTTTATGGATAGGGTTGTTTCCAAAACACACATTTTAAATGTTTGGCATTTTGTTTGAATTTAGTACCCCATGCATTTTTTATTTCCACAAATGCTTTGTAGTTATAAATGGTTTTTTTAACAATACCAAAAAATAAGGAATTCAACATTGTAAAGTCACAACCCTTTCTTAGTTTTTGGGGATATCATGTTTGTTGAGGTGTTCCGGTGTAATTTTTTCTCCTTGCCTCTGGGCATTAACAACATAAATGCAGAAAATAAATGTTTTATTGACTATGGCAAGCCAGTGCATCAAAGGCCACACTACTATTTTTAATACAGGCTGTGTGGGTTAGTTTTCCAATGGGCAGAAGACAGGTTAGAAAGGGAGTTTTAAGGTTCATTGCTCCAGCATCTATCAGTGGCTAAATGACAGGTGCAGAGATCCAAATTGCTTGCCTTAATTATTATTGGGGGTGGAGGAATGAGAATTAGGTTTGGCCTGCCCTCAGGCCGGTGAGGTAATTTGCGGGAAATTTGCATTTTCAGTAATTATGAATGATACCGATTTGCATATTCAATAACCGAGTCAGCCGTAAGTTCATGCTAAACACAAATCATGGTGGCCCAGGAGACCTTGGATCTTACATTTGTTTTTTTTGTGTTTTTCTTTCTTTTTGTGTATGCCAACAGTGTCTATTGGCAGACGTGTCCAGGATCCACTGGCTGAACTTGTAAAGATTGATCCAAAACACATTGGTATTGGTACATATCAGGTAAGTGTTTCTTTTTTTCCCATCTGTCTCTCTCTTTTCTTTTTTTTGTAGACTAATTGGGTAGCTCATTTACCAAAACCAAGAAAAAAAAAGGAAATGTTAGCAAAGGTGAGAAGACACGTCAGGATGTGTATAAATAATTTAAAAAGTGTTTAAAATAAGCAGAGAAGAAGATAGGCTTGGCTTAGGGCTGTGTCAACAGATGAGGTTAAGGATGGCTAATTCAGTTATTAGAGCTCAGGTATGACGTATAGTTGGCTTTGTGGTTTTGAGGTTGCTGCAGTGTTTGCAGATATAGCATTAAGTCATTGTTGATTTTGGACGTATTACGCATTTCATTGTACGTTTTATTTGAGATAAACAGATCACTGTCTTTTATTGCATCAACAAAGAGGATGAAAACAACAGTGATTAGGGGATGAAAGTGAGTATGGATAAATGATTAGACTGAGGCTGTACAAGATGGCAGCATCTAGTTAATTAGGGGGTAAAAGACTTTCATGTCCAGGGCATTTTCAGATTAAACTAAAGGCGGTGCAGAGCATGTGTTGTGTCCTCACGAGACTAGTTCTCAGATGCAGCGTTAAACGGGTAGAAATCCGGTTCCTGAGGATGTGAGCCTCAAAAGGTGATTGAGCAATGATGCATGAGAGGACTGTGTGGTGGTGACTGTGGAGTTGATTCAGATATGAAAATAAACAAATTATCCAATTTCTATTGTTATCGATTGAATGCTTGATTTGACTTTTGGCTTAATAAAAGGTGAGTAACGATAGTTTTGACTTTAGTCTAATTAATCCCTTTTTAGATTGACAGATAGCTTCAGCTGTAGTAAAAACATCCATTTCTTAGAGAAAGAGTAACTTTCTCTGCAATACCGAGAGGCGGTTCCTGTTTTTTAGCATTTCAGTTTGTTCTGTTCTTTGTTGGTGAGCTACAGCTTTATCAACAACTAAACAAGAAACAAACAGTGGAAGGAAAGAATCCCAGTAGATCACTACCTTCAATGAGAGGCAGATGAGATGAAAAACAGAGATAAAAAGGACAGCGGATGGGAGCTAAAAGGAATATTTAAATGTTAGGGGAAAATTAATGTTTAAAGCGAAACGACCTGGTCATATTGTGTGTGTATATGTATGTGTGTGTGTCTGTGTGTGTGTTGACGAGTTGTGTTGGGTCACAGGCTCTTGTCTCTCATCACACTCTGCCCGGACTCTCTGGGGTGCCCAGGGTTCTGCACCACTCGCTCTCAGATCATGTGACTAGGTCAACAAATGATAATATAACCGAGTAAATAAACTCTTGGCGCTGACAGATATGAGATGGGACATCATCTTGACCTGCGTGTGAGCTCACACAAACGCACACTCATGCACGCTTTCCTCCCTGCCCTTTCCCAGAGGTAACTGTGCTTCAATGCATGTGTGTGCATTTGAATTGGTGTTCGCATGGATGTGTTTGTGTGAGAAAAGTGCACTCATGCATACGTGTTCTTCTGTGTAATTCATGGCATTTTGAGCTTTCTGAAAGTTTATTGCCATTAGACCCAAAAAGCATACGGCAGATGTAACTCTAGACAGCTGGCACAGCATGTGCTCTCTTTCTCTTTCCCTCTGCTGACCCAGTGAGTGACAGCTCTGAGAGAAAGGCGGAAATGAGCTGAGGGCTAAAAAAGTGAGGCCCATTAAAATCAGATTGGACCTAAGTATTGGTGTGGGAACGATGTTTTCACTGCAGCACCACTGGCTGACAAGTTTTGCTGCATTTTGCTAAATGTATCCCTAAATGTGAAGCCAATAGCTCTTCTTTTTTTTTTTTACATATCTGTAATAAAGCATGGTGCAATTAAAAGACTTATTTTACAAAGTGACATTTAAAAAGACGCGCAGCATAGGAGACTTGTGTATTAAAATAATTAGTGACTCATTAGGAGTGGCCTTTTCAACAAGTTCATGTCAGTCAGCTCTTTATATTACTATAGTCTGTTAACAGCTGGGTGATCCCCAGGGCCATGAAACTAACTGCTACTGGAAAATACACACAGACATACACTGCTGTGTAAGAAAATAATGCCCACCAGCCGGATATTAAAGAAACTGTCACTCTTCCCCTCACCTCTTTGAGCTGTTCGCCTTCTCTTATTCCAGCTTTTTGCGAATATTTTCCTGACCCTGTCCCAATGACAGCACTCCGTCTCCCATCCACCCTGGTCAGGTTTTCTCCTTTCAAGGAGAACATGTGCTTATGTTGCAGCAGTAGGGATGCACAGATCACCCAGCTGGTGCCCTGAATCTGGAGAGAAATTACGATGTCTTTGGTGTGAGGGGGTTTCACTCTTTGTGAGTTTAGAAAAACAAAATCAACAAGCATATAAGATCAAGTTAATAGTAAATATTAATAAAAGCACACAGGCAGCCAGAGTCACGAAAAGCCTTCCAAAGTGTGGCTGTAGTAAATGTTTTGAATACAAAGTGGAATTTTTTTGTTGGACCATAGTAGGCCAAATGACATCGAAGCTCACAACACATCCAGAACTACGTTTTGGTCCTGTAGAGGGATCACTTGTTAACAAGCTACAATCCAGATTGGCCTGAAGTTGGTCTATTAACCTGAACTTTCCAGTTCATAATTTTGTATATTTCAACCAACATGTTCAGCAGGGCTGCTCAATCTTTTGGAAAAAAGTGTTGAATAAGAGGTTTTGCCTCCAGCAAGAACAAATGAGATCACCTGCACAACAAGTCAACCTGCTTTACTCCATATACATGTATACTATCTTTGAGCCATTAAAAGGTGGTGCCCAGAGGGGGAACAAGAGCAGACAGAGCAGAGGGCAGGAAGAGGAGCAAGAATGAGGTTTAACAGTTACTGCATTTATTTTTGAGGCGTGGGAAAAACAGGTTTCTAAAGAACTGATCCATAGAAGTTGCCAAATTCTACCTGGATTTATTTGAATTGTTTCCTTGAGATTAGTCATTTGGATTGCTATTGTGTTTAGTGATGTTGTGAGAAGAAATACGTTTCCCCTTATTTCACTGTATATTTGCTATATAACCTGTTTAGCTTATTTGGTCTTTGGACGATTTATACTGAGAAGGGGATATCTATTATTTGAGTATAAAATGTACATCTAAGCAAAACATGCATTTTACTTTTGTCAGTTTCTATATATATGTAGAAATAATTGTTTGAATGGCAGTAAAAATTTCAAGCTCAGTCTGAAAAAAGCTGGTTGTTTACTGTAGAAATGGAAAATTGGCACTCAGAAATACACAGGTGTTGGATGGGTGAAATGGTGATTGGAAATGGACTCATACCTGTGACTTTTTTCACGATATTCCAAGTTATCGCATGCCAGGTTTATAACAAATGAAATGTCAGTTTAAGAGGATAGTCGTTTCAGCTTTGGAAAGCCATTGGTAAACAGTTAAATAGAAGTCGTAAATCAATAGTTGAAATTGATATGTCAGCAAGGAGGCGGTTTTATGATTTTCCGACATCTGTCATGAGAGCCTAATGACAGTATTGTGGCTTCCTGATTTCTACTCATCTGATTTGCATACCAAAATAGTATGCGTTGCTTTCAGGAGGGTGTTCTCAGAAACGGGTTTGAATTCAAAGAAAACATGGCCTCCAAATAACCTCAGTTGTTAGACTTGATTCACTTAAACACAGGCCACTGAGGACCAGACAATGAAAGAAGGGAAGTTTGACAGCATTGTCACAAAATTGTGAAAAGTACAGCCAAGCCAGCCCAAATACACTGAAGTGATACAACCCAAATTCTTTAAAGGTTGGGATGCTATGCAAACTGTAAATTTCATATATCAAAAGCTTTTCTCCATTAAAATTTAAAAATGATTTTTTAACCTTTTTTTTCAACATGACATGTTGAAAATGAGACATTTTGTTCAAAATGGAGTGGGGGCAACTAAAGAGTGGAATAATGAGGGGCACAACAGGAAAGTCTGGTACATCAGAACATGTTGTGTTCCAGTAATGCATTTGGGTATTGGGGGAAAAAAAAACACAGAACTCTACAAAGAAAATCTGACACCTATTTGTGTTGCGTTTTTCGAGGACCAAAACAACCAAATACTCCATCAGCTCCAGTAGATGTTATCATTACAAGATGTTAAGAATCTGGAGCCATCTTTGTGCAAAAGAGATGTGGCTGAAAGACAACATTTGATGTGTGGAGGCATTGGAAACACTACATTAAAAACAGGCCCCGTTCTGCCATTGGAATCACAGCATGGGCTCTGGAGCAGCTTTAGAAATCATTGTGTCCTTAAACAGTCCACTGTGCCCTCCGCAAATGCATGTTAAAACTCTGTCAAGCACGCATGGAAGGAACTGTTGGTGATCATGATCAGTAAATGTCCAGAAATAAAGCAGACCGAGGCAAAGTGAGCAAACCTGAAATTCATGTTTGGAAATCATTGATGTCTGGACTAAAGAGGAACAGGATCATTGGTTTGTTATGAGCACTCGACTCAAAACTCAACATCTCCGATGCAGTGGGGGTGTATTGGTGCCTATGGTACTTACAAGTTTTACAGAGGAAAATTTTTACAGGTTTCAGAACAAAATAATATTCTGTACGGGAGAACAGCTCCCGTACAGAAGACTATTTTCAGGGAATTCTTTACATATTGAATCGGTGCTGTGTTAAACTGCACACTGCATCCATTACAGCAGCATGGCTGGCTAGTCCAGGAATTTGGGAATTTCAGCATCATGAACGGCAAAATGTGACAAAGAAAAAGAGACCGTTGAGCTATTGAATATCCAACCTGTTCCAGTAATGTTTGTTCAGTATTTAATCAAACAATGTAAGCACTGCTTCAGAAGGCGGGAGAGTATTCTGTTTTCTTTAAACTAACAACTTTGTGTCAACTAACCTCTGATCCAAACCATTGCCTAAAGCTGTTATTAAGCCCTTTTTATTTATGTTATTCACTTTTAAATCCACTCAGATTCATCAACATTGGCATTACACAGGTAAAAAGGCAGTGAAGAGAGCATTAAAGAAATTTGACTCTACAGTTTGAAATTGTCTGACAGCTAACCTTCCTCAGGCTCTTTGCACATGCAGCCATTATGTCTCCAGCTCGGTTCCATTTCCTGAGCTGTTTATTGACAAGATTCATATTCATTTTTAGGTTGCTGTCAGACTAAAGACTTATTTCATCATTGTCATTCAACACCTCAACTTTTAGCAGTTGCTTCATTTCCCTTTCATCTGCTCTTCTCACCACTGTAATTGGCCCTTTTAGGTTGTGTTCAAGTCGTATGTTAGGAAATGTGTAGAAAAAAAGGAGGCCTTAATGTTTTTTCTGTTTCTCAGTGAATAATTGAGAAGGTGAAAAGCTTATTTTATTTTCTGTCTTTCTCTCTTTATTTTTCACCACTCTCTCTTTACCTTTTATTTTGATTGACATGTGGTAACTCAGCAGTGTTTCAGTACCGCTGGTGCAGACAGAAGCACTGTTCATGCGTATTGGTTGGCCGACTTTAGCTGGTCTCTGGCCAGTCCAAACACGACCTTCACACACGGGGATCCGGCCCACTGGATCTGGATGAGTTTGAGGTTTGGGGTCTGACAGTCCATCTTAACTTATCTGTTTCAACATCTCTCTCTGACCTCAAACCATCTTGTAACTGTAATACAAACACTGAAATTATTTAAAAACAATAAGCTAAAGGCAAAAACAGCAGGGAACTGTAAAGAATGTGGTTTATGGCAAAGGGTTGAACTGGAATTTGATCGATAAGGCATGATCTGGTAATGTTGAAGGTCAGGGTTTCTGTTTAGCTGTGCTGTCCCCTAATAAGGATAGCTGAACAAAGCTGTGTGTGTATTTGTTTTTCTTATTTTCAACATTATGAGGACAAAACTATATTGACAATGGACTTATGTGGACTAGTATCAGTGTTGGAATTAAGCTATGGTCTGGCTGGTGTTATTCTTGTCCAATTTCTTATGATCACAAATACCTATTGTCATAATAAAAAAAAATTTCATTCCTTTTTTAGGATGAATAAATAATAGATTTTATGGCATATACGTTTTAATATTCATTAACCATGCCAACCAGTAGCACCTCTCTTGAAATTTAATTTCAGGTTTGTTTATTATAAAGACGTTGGCAAATAAGCAAAAGTTTTTCAACACAGGGCAGCACATTCGATAGAAACACTGGATTAAAAAAATGCATAAAAACATAATGCACCGAAATTTTTACTGATCGTATTGTAACATTATGTTTATTAACTATGAGTCCATGTTTTTGTGTCCCTATTACCACTTTTATCCAAATCGGTACAAATTGAATTGTGCTTGCAGTTTTCTATTACCAATTAAGCAGTTATGTACCGGAATACATATGCACCTCTGCATGTGCAGTTACAATACCTCAGATGCTCTGAAGCTGCTCCCACCTCTATAAGGTTTCAGGAAGAATGTGAGAACGCCTTCATTGGGTTTTTACTGCAGGTTACAACTCACACTGCTCACACCTTTCTCGTGTGAAAACATTCTTTTCTGGTGTGACATTTCAGGTGATTTCCTCCTCATCCTCTCATACTCTCCTCTCTGTCTATATCCACTCACAAGAAGTCATAAATCTTTCAATCTGGCTATATTGGAAACTTGCTCCTTGTTTGGAAAGTTTTTTTTACCATCTCCAAAATGCCTCTGGCTGTAGCATGGCAGCGTTTTCACAAAGAACCAGACATTCAGCACCAGACGTCAGTCGCTGAGGGTTTCACTCCGGGTGCTTCACTGTTCCAAAGATAACTCATCTCCTGTTTGTCTTACGTAGCCCTTTTGCTAAAGGAAATATTGATAAGTCAAATTTGAATACAGTTAGTGAATCCAAACGCATTTTTTGACGACTATTCTCAACTATTGAATTAAAAGTAAAAAATGGAGCTGAAAAACAGACAAATCCTCAGCAATTGTTTTCTCTTTTATTGGATGGAATCTAATTTTCCTTTATATTTTGGGGTTTAATCTTCCCCTTGGACTCTATCATTATTACCCATTTAAAAGCAGAAAGGTTGACATTTCAACCTATTTGTGCAAGTTAACTGCAGAAACGTGTGTTTAATAATAAAAAAAAATAGACTAAAACTTTAGAATTCTTTAGACTGAAACAAAGAAATGAACTGTTATACTCAAATTATAAAGGAATGAACGAAAATAGGACAGCGTAAATGTGAGGAGTCACGTGCTCCGTCACCCGTTGATGCCCGTATCTGATCCAGCTTCCCTCTCTGTCCTCGTCCGTCTTGCTGTCGTGTTGTTGCTGACAGAGAGGGGGGGGGGGGGGGGGGGGGTGCTGGCTGGTTGTGTTGTTATCTGTTTACGAGTCAGTATTTGTCCAGAGCTTGATCATGTTGCAGGACAACTCCTGCTAGTCTCAGGCACGCTTTGCACATGACAAACAAACCGTTAGACACACAGACACACTGACACAAACACAGCAGTTCAACAGTAGTCCAGTTTAGAGTGTCAGCTAATCCTCAAGCAGTTGCTGAGGCATCAGTCTCCAGCTGGACTTCTTGCAATTGGGCATTGTCCCACAGGGCTTCATTTTGTTTCTTCACAACTGCAAAACCTCAGAGAATTTCTTAAATCTATTTGGGTGTTCTGTTTTCATCGGTTACATTTTTGGTTATATCCCCTTTCCTTTCCTTTTCTTCTCTCCTTGGCCTCCTTACTTCTTATTTAGAAAAAGGGCTCCAGTCTTTTTGGAAAATATGTCCTGATTAAAAGATGATTGGCTGCTGTTTGAGAGGTGTGAATGTTAATTTGGACGATCCAAACTCGCAGAGAGCCAACTTAAACATTCACAGTTCTCTTTTTTTCTTCTGTGCTCCCTCCATGTGTCAAGCAGCTCTTTTTGTCAGGTTATTTCTCTGCCTCTCACTAGCTTTACTACTCATCAATCACGCTGTCTTTGCGCACCGTCAGTATTTCATTGTTGATGTGTTAATCTTTGTTAGAATTACATTTTCATAATCCCCTGTGGATACTTGCAAGTTATCAGAGTATAGCAAAAAAGAAAAATACTGAATAATAATACAGAGTGAAGGACATGTTTATAATAAACCCATTTAAACCATGCTTTAAAACGTGTTTCATAGGAATTAGAAAATGTATTGTTACTGGAATTTTTTAATGAATTCTTTTTTGCTTTCATTGTATTGTTTTTTTTTTTTTAGCACGATGTGTCAGCTGGTGCCCTGAAAGCAGCGCTGGACGGAGTGGTGCAGGAATGTGTGAGCTTTGTGGGGGTGGACATCAACATCTGCTCCGAGATGCTGATGAGGTAGCTGATGCGGAACAATAAATGCTGAAGACTTTGATAGTTTGTATCAGTGACTCAACACTTAAAATTGTGCTGAGAACAACGGGAACTTTTATGTCCATCAGAGCGTAGTCAGCGTTTTGGGGAATTTGCCACAGATTTTCTGTAGATTTGGATCATCTCAGCAGCACAGAACCTGGCACAGCAACGTTCTCATGTCCTCATAAGCAGGTGTATCTCCGCACACCCGTGCCCCTCTCTCGCACACAAATTCACAGAGAGAGATGAAGCAGGGCTCAGACCTCTGACATACTTTCCCTTTGCAGTCACAACATGGCAAAGCTTCATTCACACTCATGCACAGACGTGTGATTGACGCGCGCACACACAACGCGGTCTGCCAGCTTTCTGTTTAGACTAATGCTTCACACCCTGGCTCCACTTGCCAGGCTGACTGGAATCGGCAGAGAGGATTAGGCGAGGTTACAAAAACACACACACACACACACACACACACACACACACAGAAACATTTATGTACATGACAGATTCACAAGTTGGACGCTGCATTGTGCAACATTCGTTACAACTTCAAAGCTATCTATACAAAACTCAAAAGCACACAAAGACTTTGTAGTCGACACAAATCATATGAAGTGAAACGGCCATGGACTGCAATACAGGCATCAGGTCATCTGTTTACCTGTCTGCTTTGCAAGAGGGCTTTTTCCACTTCTGCCACCATTTATGCTTGACTCACCTACACACATTAAGCACACACACAGACGTGTCGATGACTGAGGTATTATGTGGAGTGTTGACATAGCAGTGTGTTTTAGAATGAGTCACCCACTGTGGCCATTAATATGGTCGACCTAATTGAGTTTCAAATCACCTCCGTTCTTTGCTTGGCCAAAACTAGCCAAATATAGTTACCAAATACTGGCTCATGCTTGTTTCTTGTGTTTCCAGTGCTTGTATTAAAAAAAAAACAAAAAAAAAAACTTGAAAGTTGAATTTCTCCAAGCTGTTCTGTTGTGTTGGAATCCAGGGTGGAAGGAAGACCTGAGAACTAAACCCAGATTTGTCCATTCTAAATCTTCAATTCTGTGTCGTTTTGTCTATTAGGCATGTGGCAGGCCTGAATGTGGGCCGGGCCCGCAATATTGTTGAGTGGAGAGAACAGAATGGTCCTTTCAAAAACAGGGAGCAACTCAAACTGGTCAAAGGCATGGGACCCAAAACGTACCAACAGTGTGCTGGCTTCATCAGGATCAATCCCCAAACCCTAAACAGGTACACACTCAGTTGTATATACCGAGATGTAAACCTGCACAGGCACAACTGCATTGGTCAGAAATGGTTTCAGGGTGCTTTGTGCTTATTTCTGACTGAATACGTCACAGGGCTTTAGATAATTCATTTGCAGCATTGAAAGCTTTTAAATTATCCACATTTTAAGTTCAATCAAGTGAGGCAAGCGTGTCAACAGTTTACACATGTAATAGCAAACACAAGAAAATGTTGAGAATGGTGTTAAGTTTTGAAGGTCTACAGCTACAAATCCAAAAACTTCTAACGCATGATTTTCCTTTGTCAAACAGTGTCAGGACCTCAACTCAGCATGCACCAGCTGTGCCAGAGAAACCAGCCGCTAAGAGGGGCAAAGGAAAGGCTGGTATCACCGTGCCAACTTCATTAAACCCTCTGGACCAAACCTGCATACACCCAGAGTCCTACCATGTGGCACAGAGGTACAGCAACACAGACATGCAAACACACACACTCACACTAGTACATCAGCCTACCCCGCTGGCCAAATCATGTTCAGGCTAAGATGGAGTTGATTTTGACACCGTCTCATATGGGGTTAGTTATAGTGGTGGAGGACTCTGATTTGATTTACGCAGTCATGGGATACAAAAGAAGAGGCGTTGGCTTTGTGTGTGTTGTGTGAGTGTGTATGCTGGTGCATGTGTGCCCACCCTTGTGTGAGAAGTGATTGTTACTGCTGATATCAAAAGCACATTGAACATCTGCCCCAGAATTCTCCATTTGTGTGTTGATCCTCTGTCCTGCAGCTGTAGTCACTCAACTGTGTTTAGTCTACACAAGTTCTGACACTAGTGGCTTTAAGCATTGCTCCACTCATGTTGATGTGCCTTTAATAGCCTAAGTACATGTGTGTGGGATAATGTGTCTCTGCGCACACACATGCAGATAGATTGATGCTTCTATATGGAGCTGTTTTTCCTTGTCTTTCCCACTTCAAACCAGCCGGTAAGTGTATTTGTGGATTTGTGTTATTGTGTATTCAATAAGGTTAGATTGCATTTATCACAAATAAGACAGAACAAAGCATCAACCCCATCCTCATTAATGCAACCTTTATTAATGTGCCACCATTTTATTCTTCTTTATTTTTCCTTTTTCACCTTTTCCTACCAAGCAACATAGATATGTCTTTAAAGTTCCATTATTCAGGTGTCACCTGTCCATGATTGATATTCTGCTCTTTCATCTTTCCATAAAGCTTTTTTTATTTTTTAGATCTTTCACTGCCTTTTTTTCTTAGATGTGTTCATTTCTCTAACCATGGAAGGCATCCATATAAATCTGCATTCAAATTGCGTTAGGAAGATATTTCAAACTTAGTCATGCGCTGGAAAATTAATTTAGGTTTGTCTTAAATCTTTATGTTTATTAAAAAACCTGACCGCATATTTAAACCACACATGACCTGAGCGTCAGTCATATGTAAGATTACTCATATGTAACATTTGTAGCAAGTCACAACAGAAGAAGATGTATTCCCACCATCAACAATGTGGGAGGCATATTGCCTCGTACCTGCTGTAAAAATCCACAAAACACCAAAACTGTGTCATGTCGAGTTTGGTGTGTATGCTTCATTAGTCCACTAATTTTGCAACCACTTAAAGGTTTGTATGTCTTTTGAACGACAAACACATTTTAATGAAGTAATGTGTGTTCTTTGCATTCGCAAGGAACTAACCCTTCAATCTGTCTTTTGTCACCAGCCTTTTTCCAGGTCTTCTTATTAAATAGTGTTCTAACTGGCAGCCATTACATTCTTTGTTATGACTATATTATAATCCATGCTTGGAAATTGACTCATTCACTATGAAACAAGAGGTTGAACAATAAAGAATCGTGAGAACTTTGTGGTATAAATTCCAGTGTTTAGATCTTCTTTCGAGTTCATCTTTTACTTTACTTGGACTATTATTATTTAATATTACATTAAATTACTTGCGAAACACTCCAACTACATCGGAACACTTAATAACGATGGGTTCTTAAAAGTGAATGTGTATCTGAGCTCACCTGCAACTGATCAAAACAGCAGGTTTGGAAGGAGGATTGTAAAGGAATGCTGTGTGCATGAGTGTAAGCATGCATGTGTGTATGTCTTTATGCTGTATAAGGAATATCATGTTCATCACATTAGTGGAACAAGATCCTCCATTACCGCTCACAGCCCACACGTCAACCTTGTTTTTGAAACCATATAAGAACACATGCAAAAAGCAGGAACACAAACTTACAGACAAAAGTTTTGGTTTCAGAAAAGATGGGATCTCTTTGCAAAAAGGGACGATTTTTTTGTTTAGAGTTCTCAAAAGCGTAATTAAAACAGACAAGTCAATTCCAGTGGACCAGTAGTTTGAGTGGAAATCTGGTGTGAGGCAAAGGGGCTTGACTTGGAGGGATATTTCTCTGATAAGTTACAGTCAGGGTCCAATGTTTCTAAAACAAGAGACAGAGTAGGTATTTTCTCTGGGCCTGGATAAAATCTATATCACAGCCCACCCAATCCCCCATTCACACATAGACACACTGCGTATACATGAACAGTGGTGGCAATAATTATATAAGTATGAGCCGAGAGTGTTGGAGGCCTCTGGACCCCTGGTACCCCTTAAATGCTAACATACACCTCTGTAAAATGAGATGGGGAGCACAAACAGGCTTTAAAGTTGACCTACCATGTCTCCTTTACGTTTCTCTTCTCTCAAGTCTTTACATTTTAGTTACAAGTTTGATTGGATTTGAATATGGGTCGATAAAAGATTGCGACCCCATATAAAATGTTACCATTTTAATCGAAAATATATTTTAATATATATTTTGAAAAGTATTTATTAGCTTTCTCTCCCTGACTGGGTTCCAACTGTAAGAGAAATAGTGTATGCTATGGACCCCTAAGCCATTGGACATAACCATTTTTTTTCCTGAATGAAAAAGCTTCGGGAGGCTCAGGAGAGAGGAGCTAAGTGTAACACAGACATCCATTTTGTTCCAAAGGTGTCGTTTCCTCACCACTGAACCAGTTCTGGCTCATACTTGGCTCCTTTTTTGTACCGATACAGCTTGTTCGCATTGAGGAATTGATCGGTCATCTCTCCTTGTAGAAAGTGATTTTGATGGCAAATCCCAGAAAGGAACAATTGTCTCATACAATAGTTTGTACACAAGCTGTTTCAAGTTACATCAGCATGATTCCCACTCCTGCCAAATGAGCATTTCTGAGCAGCATTGTACATGAATCAACTTCATGCATGCGTGTCCACCTGTTGTGTCCATCATGCGGTGGACAGCTGCGGAGTCTGTTTGGCGTCAGGCTGCGAGTGAGCGACATCCATCACGGACGCTACCCAATTGGTTCACACATGTACATTTGCAAGAAGTCACAAACACAGTCACATCTATCGCCAGCTGTGTAGTGTTGGCTGTAAATTCTATATGCAGCATGCACAAGACACAGACAGACGCACACATCTCACTTTTCCATTTCCCCTTTTTGGCTCCCAGGCAGTTTTGTTACTGTGTCTGTTTAGGTCGCAGAGCAGCTAATTAGACTGGATTTATATTTCAAGCTCACTAAATTTGCTATGGTGCAATCTGACTGCCTGTCTAGACATTATGGGGTGAGACATCAGGCTGGAAGAGAAAGTTATACACGTGTGGTTGGCAGACCTGCTGTCCAATCGTAGCACATAGGGAGTGTCATGAGACAAGGTGTCAGGGCGTTTACAGCCCATTGAGGATGGACCTGATTTACCACGGTGTAAATTAGATATGTGTTATAAAACGGAAAACTCCACCTTGGCAGCAAATTATTTCGGCCGACCCCCTTTCCCCTAACTTTTCATGCATTTGTTTTTAGTGCTGCTATTCGTCAAGATTTTCAAGTTGGAAAATATTTAGTTATTTGTTCTACTGCAGCCTCATTACAGAGGTTTAGTCATGTTTAAAATTATTGTCCAAATGATTGTTGAGAAGTTCAAAGATGTTAATCAAGTATGTTATTGTTTTTGCTTATGTTATGTATATATTATATTTAAAAAAAATATTGAGTGTTTTAGCATAATTCTGATTTTTGAGGAGAAATTTAAGGAACTGAGTTGGGAACCTCTGGATTCCCTTTGTCTTTGCAATTTAAGTTTTCTTCCTCTATATCTCTGCGATCGTTTTATCAACAGTTGCTTCTCTTCCTTCTTTCATATCATTTCCATATGTCATAACTCAATATTTTATCACTTTTTCAGTTCAGTTTTTCTACACTGTGTTGCATTTAATTGATGTTTTATTCTTTTTCCTCATTTCCAGATTTCTGTCAATTGTGGGTGGGACTGTGGACCACATAGGAAGCACAGGCCTGCAGCAGCGTGTGGAGAACAGGCTTAAAATGAGCAGTATGGAGGAGCTCGCCCAGTCTGTGGACACCATACCTGAGACCCTCAAACTCATCATAGATGGCCTCACGCAGCCACCAGGATTTGACATAAGACAAAGTACGACTCTCTCCACATATAGCTGCACAAACACTTAAACTTTAACAGTGATATTAAAATCGTGAATGAATGCAATCACATATGTAATAAAAAGATGATGTAAAAAAAGCAGCAAATGCTGGCAAAAAGGAAAGAAATGTTCCCATTTAAACACGTAAACTGAGATAATGATAATAAAAAAAAGTATTCATAATAAATAATTTAGATTAAATTAAATAGACTTTTTTTCACTTTTGACTTTTTTTTCTATGCTTGGTAAAATATAAATCTTGCAACTGAAAAGCAAAAAATCAGTATTTGGAGTCACGCACGTGCTCAGAGACTGCAGACTGCAATCTAGCAGTCACAGTAACCTGCCTTGGTCTCTCGTCTTTCCCTCATAATGTTGCTACAGGTCCCTACTGACTAACAGAAAATCAAACCTGTATTTGTCCTGCTCTTTGACTGCTTCGCTAGTTTACAACACACATCGACTTCTCTTGCCTTGACTGTAATCAGCATGTCTTGGCAGTGTAACTTGATCGGATCTGACAGCGCTGTGGCTTCCTCCCTGTAGCCCAACAATACAGGCAGTATGTTTCTGACATGGTGTGATGGGTCCAGCAGACTGTGTTGTTGGACAGCAAACAAATGCACAAAGAGCTGTTTTTCTCCTTAATCTTGAGCTCCCGAGCTCAGACCCTCATGAAGACTTGTGAGTTTTTGTTGGGAAAAATCTCTCACATTTCTTTCTTTTTCTTTTATTATCTCTTTAACACATCTTATATTTAATGTGCCCAGGCTGTTGTCGTTGGTCTGAAAACAACACACACGTCATATTATAGTGAAAAATATAATGTAATTGTTTAACTTAAAACCTATTCAAAGTCATAAACATTTTTCACCTCGTTCATGTATTTGTCTGCTAACATAATATTGACGTGGAGGATAAGTGAAATCGCTTTGCCTCGTAGTGGCAAAACAAACACAGAGGTGGAGAATTGAGCTGATGAACTTGGCTGTAGGGAGTATTTTTACAGTTGATGTCTGACTTTTTCTCCCTGTCGGACTGGTCAGTTAAATGCAGAATCATTCCATTGCCTTATTATCAGACTCTCTTCTTTCATACTGCTTCATCTAACCCAGAAGGAAAAAGTCAAGTCCGTGTAGCCAGTTAGTACTGGCCAGCTCTTCCTCAAATTAAGGAACGCAGCTTCAAAGTTCATTCTCAGGTTGGCCCTATTCGGTTGCACTAAACTTCAGCTGGCCTCCTAGCCAGTGCTCAGCTGAGTAAACAGATGGGCTGAAGCTACCGCATGAAATCAGTGCTGTGGGGAGGATAATTGGACCAGACTATTTCCTGGAGCACAAGCCTTCCTTGTTTTTGTAAATGGTACAGAAAGGAAAAAGGATCTTAAGAACAGGCAGCGTGGAAACTAAGAATGAATACAACACTGAGAAATGTGGAAGTGCTGTACGTTGAATGAAGTGTTGAATTACTGCTTGTAATGTAATATGTGTTTTGTCGTTTTCTCCCCCACCCGCTTATTTTCCTCTCTTCCCTTCCCACTTATCATTTCTGCCTCCCAACTGTCCTCTTACCACCTTAAAATATTGTCTCCTGATGTCTCTCTTTTGCCGTCCCCAGATTTTGGGCAGGCGGACTTTAAGCGGGGCGTTGTGTCGATGAGTGATCTGCGGGTGGGCGCAGTGCTGACCGGCCGGGTGGACAACACAGCCCTCTTTGGAGCTTTTGTAGATATCGGTGTTGGCCGCTCAGGCCTTATCCACAAGAGCAACATCACTCCTGACAAGCTGCCTGTCAGCCAGCGCCGTCGCAGCCTGGCTCTGGGACCCGGGGAGCGGGTGGAGGTCCGAGTCCTTAATGTCGACGTTCAAAGGGGACGGATCGGGTTGGACTTGATCCGGGTCTTACAGTAGATTCACTCAATTCCCATAACTTATTTTCTATACGTATGAGGGAAGAGAGATAACACACAAAGCCATTTAAGACACAAATTGCTGCCCGATGTTTAAAGTGAACCTGAATGCAACCTGATGTTTCTCGCTATTCAAGCAGAGCATGCACAGGAAAGCATTTATATTAATTCTCTTTTATTTTGTAAACGCAAAAGGTTGCTGAATTGCAGCCTCATTTGTGGGGTGCTGTAGATTTGAACAGCATCCACACGTTGGTCAAATCAAACTTAAATACTTTATGGAAACAATATTATTAAAATTTTACCTCCTGGTTTGTTATTCTTGGCGTTTGTAGCCTGTCATGTTGACACTACCCACATCTTTATACTTTAGCTTCTAATATTTGTCTATCATTACGATGGTACTTGACTAAGTCAGAATTCAGAGTCTGTATTTGCACTCTAACTCTTCAAGATTTGTTCTGCGCTGCTGAACTCTTTGTTACATCTGTCACATTTTGGATTCTGTTTCCTCTATTAATTCTGATTTGCCATGTATCTTACAAAGGTTTGAAATGTCAAGTGAGTTCTTAAAATTAAAATATGTCTTAAGATATCTTTCCGTTTACAAAGCTCTTCATACACCTTCATCCTGATTTGAGAGACATACATTACAGAACCAAGCTGGGAAGAGGGAAGGATAAGGACATTATATTATAAGAAAGGTTTTCCGTTTCCCAGACAGAAAAGCCTGAAGGCTTTTTAGGCACAGTCCCAGACATAATTATCCCATGATACACACACAGACACAAACGCACACATCCACACTAATCAGCTGCTTCAAAATTAATCCCAGACTCCCCATCCACATTATCTAATTTGTTTGTTTTTATGAAACCGGAATAAATAAAAAATACATAAAATATGGTTCTGGGACAGCCTGAGGTCCCCTGTGCTGAACATTATCCTGAATACAGATTACCTAATCACTGTTGGCGCTGCCGCCTCACTTTCTCCCTTTGGGCCAACAAATGGAATATATTCTACACACACAAACACAAAGTCATGTTCAATCACCGCTAATCAGAAGGGGCAGTTTGCTTCGTGATGATCTGAGGAAACTGAAGACATGCAGTTTAGGCTCGCCTTCATTTTCGCTGTAGTTGTGCATTTTTTAAAAGATTTTTGTCAAATCAGAGCCCTATTTCATCTGATTGCAACTACCAGGTTGTTATCTTTTATTTGCTTTGATAAGTTTGGCAGGCTCTTTTCTTTTTTTTGAGTATTTCCAGTGTTTTGTTTTGGGAAATGTGTGCACTACAAGTAGACACAGCTCCCCTCAACCCCATTCCTGCTTCCCTCGCCTTTAATTTTCTTCCCTCTGGTAAACGTGAGCTCACAGATGGGACAGGCAATCTGGCAACCTGCTACCGCTGCCCTTTGGAGTTTTTTTGTCAAACGCTGTCCAGTGATGAGCTTGTGATAAGAAACAGGGTATCTGCGGGAGAAGTTGTGTAGTTTTTGTTATCTTTGGCTACATTTGGCTCACAGCAGCTCAGATGTGCCTTCAGGTTTTGCTGAACTGTTAAGAAAAGGGATGGTAAGAAAGCTATTAGATTGGCACCACCATTTCATTCGTGTTGCCTGTTTAATCTTTGAAAAGATGAGGGCTCAAAAACCACATGGCAAAGTTGAACCTCTGAGAATGGCATGCAGGGCTCCACATTGTCTCTTTTTTTCCCCAAAGGGTTGGTACACCCTTGGTACGTGGTTTAACCTTCTTCACACAGGAGCAGAGAGAATCGCTTTCCTAGCTTGTAAGCGCATCCTGCAAAGCAAAAAAAGCCACAGCTGAGTAGAGAATATAGCTTGTGGATGGCATAGAGAAAAATATTTGTCTTCATAACGTGCAAAGTTTCAGAGTAGGAACAGGACTACTGCTGGTAGTAACAAGGCTGCACAGGATGACATCAAAGAAAATAACGAGTGCAGGAGCAAAGCTTTGGAAGGAGGAAAGGAAGAATAACCGGGTGGACATTCAGGCGATCATCAAGATCATCAAGATTTCAAGGTAAGCTTCAGTGAACTATTTAGAGACCAATAACCACCAGAATATTTCCTTTAAATTCAGGTATTAATTGAATATCTAACAAGATGCAAGAAGCCAGTTAATTATGGGCTAATACACACCATTAACAAAGTATATTGAAAGAAGTCACTATTTAAATTTGTGGTAGTTGTATATCTTTACTAGTTTGGCGCCTTCTCATAGACTTTACTTTTACTTTCCGATAGTGCGATAGAATATTTTCAGACATGATTTTTCCTTTACACATTTTCATTTGTAATGTGAATTGCAAATTCAAAGGCAAATATATACCAAAATTGACTTAATTTGAAATGTTGTTTGGTTTTCCATGTTTGTTCTCCTTTGTTAAAGCAGAATGCAAACCTTTTACAAATTAAATTAAAAAAAACTGAAAATGAATGAGAGATACTCTGGTGAAAAACAGGGGTGAAGTATAGACAGGACTGCAGAGGAGAGATGGATGAATGGAGGCAGGAGAAAGAGGGATGGAATGAGACAGGAAATGAAAGGCTTTCTCCGGTTTCACTCCCTGTGACCTCATCAGTGTGATCATGGGTTTTATGAGCTTTCCCTCTCGACGCCCACACAGCACCTCACACGTGCCAGGACACACACACACAGTCACACACACTTCAGGCCCTATATTTCATTCTCTGGCATAGAGAAACACACAGTACATGTGTTTTTGTCCCTCTGTCTGTTCCTTTTCTCACACTGTTTCTGTCAACCTTTCACATAGTTTATCTCACATCAGGATGTTAAGAAACAGAGCATTTTCTCATGGCAGCTTACAGACAAATACTAAGCGAGAAATTGAAATATGCCTTCATTATTGTTAGCATTAGCTTTTTAAAGGAAATAGGCTTACTAAAAAAAAAAAAACAGCTTGGTAGCACACAAACCAAATGAAGTGCAACAGAAGTTCCTTTAGGAATTTGATGTGGGTTTTTGCAACACATCCCACCAACACAGCTTCTAAAAGCTTCTCAAATGGACTGGAAGATAAATTGAAGTACAGGAGCAAGCATCTGTTTAGTAGCTTGCAGCCTCTGAAATTTCTTTTGGGACAAACACAGCTTTTGTCTCCACAGCGAGTGTAGGTTTTCCCTTCTACTCTTGCTTCCTTTCTTCTGTGTAACTTCCTAACCTCAGCACCTATTTGAAAAAAAAAAAAAGGTATATTAAATTACATGTTTTTCTTTATCTGTAGTAAGTTGTCATGAATGAGGAAACATTAAACTCATTAAGTTGAAGTGTGATTTCAATCCAGGTAAATTTCTCTGTCACAGTTTTCAGTTGGTCAGATTTAACTAAGATTATTATGCTTAATTTGAATGCAGATTTGAAGATCCTAAAAGTAAACGACTTACGCACAGGGCTTCCTTCAGAGTAGCACCGTTAGGGAGTCTTTTCCTGTTCCTGGGTCATGACCACTGTCGGTGCTCATGATTGACAGCCAAGTGTTTGGGCTAGCCTTTCGCCTCCGGGGGTTTGCAAGGTCCTCATGTACTTATTCGCAATGGCATTGGAAAGATCTATCACTTAAATATCCTTAAAAAGATAATCGCATAACACAAATGGGAGTGTTATAAAGGTAGAATCCCTCCATTTGATGGCCTGACAGTCTTGGAGTTTGTCATTTACATTTGGTGCCTCTCACACAGGAAACTCACTCCACAGAAAAATCGTGTTGCGAGGTAAAAGGAAAGTAATCATAGGATAATGTTGTTTACTGTGTAGGTATTACATATTCTGAAAAGTCTCTTAAAATTCATCCATTAACTCCAGGTACAAGTGAAACCTAATACTTGATTGGTAGGGAATTTTTTCTGTGAATGTATTGGATAAGTCACTTGGAGGACCAGGGGTCCTACCCGGGTCACCTGAGAACACAGGCAGGAATTCAGCATAAAGCGCTCTCAACAACAGCAGCAAGCTTTTTGTAAGGTAAACACAACCTCAATTCATGGAGAGGTTTCTCTGGCCAAAGTTCTTTATTGACGGTTGACTCTGGAAATCGGCTCTGAGACGACAGATGATTGACACGTCCACACACGCTGGGGCAGGCGGGCCATTTTCCAGTTCAGAGAGGAAGATCTCCACCCCAGGACCAGAAAAGAAGTCCATTAACTGAGCAAATCCCTCTTCTCTGCCTCTGGAGTTGGACAGATGCGATCAAACAAATGCCTGTCATGTCGATCTTTGCTGGGATGGCAGAGGTGTCATACACGGAAACGATTTTTGTGTTTACCTTCTGTGGAATTGGCAAGGGTGTGGAATAGCTGCAGGAGTAAGCAAATAGTGCCAAATACTGTGGGAATTAGATAAACAAACCCTAAAACAGGAGGGGAACCAGCATAAATAACGACAGATATGACCAACACAACAACAACAAGGGTCACATGCCGTTATTTTGAAATTTGACAAGATTAAAATATACAAGTTGTTGCATCTCACCATCTATATAAATGATCTACTATCAATAGCTATCTATGTACACCCCTCTGGGCAAAAACAGGGCTACCTAGATTTGGCAGTTGTTTGTTTAGCTCCGTGTTTCAGCTTGCTATTATTATAGTGCCGTCGGGGGCCATAACACAGATGGGAACAATTTCCTTGACACAGATTACTCATGAATTTAGGCTACCAAAGTAGTGCTTCCTGGTCATGGATTTAACCCAGAGTTAAAATCTTTAGGATGTGTTGTACCTTCACTCTGAGCAGTTAAGATGACCCTGAACAAGTTCATTATTTTCTTAGAACTGAGGGGTAATCCAAGTGTAACTGAGCTGTTCCTCAGATGTGTTAATGTTTTCGTAGTTTTGTCAAATGCATTTTTCTGTCATTAATTCAATTCAAATCAATTATTTGAAAGTTGTTTTTTTGTCAGGTCTTATCTGATCCAACAACGTGGTAGGATTGAAGCCAAAACA